CTACTTGTACAAATGCCGCGTTTTGAGCCATTCTGGCCAGATTCCGCTCAGATTATTCCAATCTGAAAAAGAACCAGAAACTCTCGTTAGCCCTCTGTCCGGGTGGATTCGAGGCCCCCAAAGCAGATTTTCCTAGAAGAAAGCCCCCCCCACCATCCCATAGGGCAGGGGTAGGCAACCTTGGCTCTTTTATGACTCGTGGAATTCAGCTCCCAGAATTCCTGAGCCAGCATAGCTGGCTCAGGAATTCTGGGAGCTGAATTCCACGAGTCATAAAAGAGCCAAGGTGGCCTACCCCTGCCCTAGGGAAGCAGGTCCCATAAGGCACGGGTCTTACCTTGTTGGCCACATCAAGCGCATCGTAATCTGGAGCCAGACGGACGTAGGCTTTTTTCTCTCCGTCGGGCCTGTAAAGAGGCAGGAAGTCTTAAGGGCCAGGAAATAAAGGGGTCCTCCCCAGTTCTAGCCATCTAGAGGGTTACAATCCCCCGGGGCTTCTAAAAGCACCAATACAGTCCTCGATTTACGACTATCCATTTAGTCCACAGCTGGAATACGGCAGCCAATTTTGGTCACCATACTACAAAAAAAATCTTTTGAGAGTTTGGAAAAAATTCAGAGAAGAGGAGCTAAGAGGATCCAAGGCCTGGAGGCTAAAACATACAAAGAACGGCTGCGGGGCTTGGGTTTGGGCACTCTAAAGAAAAGAAGAAATAGGGGAGACACGATAGCCATGTTCCAGTATCTTCCAGGGCTGCCACAAAGAGGAGGGGGTCATGTTGTTCACTAGAGCACCAGATGGAAGGACAAGAAACAATGGTTGGAAACTGATCAAAGAGAGAAGCAACCTGGAATTAAGGAGAAACTTCCTGACAGGGAGGACAATCAACCAGTGGAACAGCTTGCCACCAGAAATTGTGGGCACTCCATCACTGGAGATTTTTAAGATGAGACTGGACAGTCACTTGTCTGAAATAGTATAGGTTCTCCTGCTTGAGCAGGGGGCTGGACTAGAAGACCTCCAGGGTCCCTTCCATATTCTATTCTATTCTCTATTCTATTTCTTATTCTATTCTATTCCTGTTTTTATTCTATTGTATTCCATTCTATTCCTTATTCTATTCCTTATTTTATTCTATTCATTCTATTCTGTTCTGTTCTATTCTATTCTTGTTTCTATTCTATTCCTGTTTCTATTCTATTCTATTCTCTAAATGAAAGGCTGTTAAGTCAAGGACTACCTGTGTTCATGGCAATGATTTTTCCTCTGCAGATCTAGGACTTTATTAATTGGCTTCCTCAGCACAGGAATTGGGGTGCAGTCCGAGTCCCTGGGTCAAAGGCAGCCGACCCCAATGAAATTGATAATATTATTAATATTTCCAATGCAGATAGTCCTCCAGTTACAATCATTCAGTGACCCAAATTACGCCACTGATAAAAATGGATGACGAGCATTTCTCACACTTAAGATCACTGCCCCATCCCCGTGGGTCACGTGATCAAAATTACGACGGCCGCAGTGTCCCCGGGGGTGTGTGTGTGTGTGTGTCACATGATCCCCTTTTGCAACCTACTCAACAAGCAAAGTCAATGGAGGAAGCCGGATTCTCTTAACAACCGTGTTGCTAACTGAACGATCGCAGTGGTTCGCTTCATGACAGTGGCGAAGAAAGTCCTAAAATGGGGCCAACCTCTCTGAAGGGCTGTCTCGCTTAGGAACGGAAATTTGGCGGTGGTAAGTCGAGGACTGTGTTCTCCAGACTCATCTAACACAACATTTTCCAACCAGATGCTTCTCTTTTCAACAGGCCCCAGCTGAATAAAAGCACCAAGTCACACTTGCTACAGGGCTTCAGATCACTTGTACGTATTCTGCTTTAAAAATGAAGCGGCAAATCTATTCTGTAAGTGCTTGGACTCAGAAATGACTCTTCATCTCCCAACTCTTCTGACTTCTGTCCTGCAAGCCAGCATGGCTGGCTTACAGGACGGATCCTTTCCAAAAGTTTTTGTTGGGATATTTAAGCCTTCATGGCTGTGAAAGTTGGACCGTAAGAAAGGCCGAGCGCCAAAGAATGGAGGCCTTTGAACTCTGGTGCTGGAGAAGACTCCTGCGAGTCCCCTGGACTGCAAGGCGATCCAACCGGTCAGTCCTAGAGGAGATCCACCCCGACTGCTCTTTAGAAGGCCAGATCCTGAAGTTGAAACTCAAGTCCTTTGGCCACCTAATGAGAAGGAAGGACTCCCTGGAGAAGAGCCTGATGCTGGGAAAGATGGAGGGCAAGAGAAGAAGAAGGGGACGACAGAGAAGGAGGTGGCTGGATGGAGTCCCTGAAGCAGGAGGCGGGAGCTTCAATGGACTCCAGAAGAGGGTAGAGGACAGGAAGGCCTGGAGGAACATTGTCCATGGGGTCGCGATGGGTCAGACACAACTTCACAACAACAAAATTTAAGCCTTCAAAAGTTTCCATTACACACTCCCTCCCCGTGGTTCCCTCAAGTAGGTGTTCAGCCTTGGCCACTTTTTAAGACTGGTGGACTTCAACTCCCAGAATTCCCCAGCCAGCTGTGCTGGCTGGGGAATTCTGGGAGTTGAAGTCCACCAGTCTTAAAAAAGTGTCCACCGCTGGGATTCCCCTGCTCTAAAGGCTTCTTCGTGCATCAGTGGTTCCTTTGAAAACATCACTTCGCTCAGCCGGAAACAGTTTCCATCATCTGCACGAAACAGCCCTGGAACCCGTCCCCGTCCCGCTCCCAGCTGCTCTCTACCTGATCAAGGTGTTGACCTTGGCCACGTCGATGTCGTACAGCTTCTTGACCGCCTGTTTGATCTGGTGCTTGTTGGCCTTCACGTCCACGATGAAGACCAGGGTGTTGTTGTCCTCAATTTTCTTCATGGCTGACTCCGTGGTCAGTGGGAACTTGATGATGGCATAGTGGTCAAGCCTGGGAAGG